CATCATCATCATCATCATCATCATCATCATCATCATCATCATCATCATCATCAAGTCACAGATCTGCGACAAAGTTTGGCGATCGCGTTTCGCAATTCATTCCTTTTCTCGAATACTCTCAATACAGGTATTTATTATTCCTGTCCTTTCCTGTCACCCATCTTTTTAACCTCTCCAAGTAAGTTGCTTTAGGTCTACCCCTGCCTCGCTTGCCTAACATTATACATGTGAGATCTGGGCCTTGTGCAATTTCAAATGTCCCAGAAAGTACGTTTGTCTTTTCCTGAACTTTTTATTTTGAATCAGCGAGCTGCCCGTATGAGCTTCTTCAAGTACTCCCTCGTTTGATTTCATTTTCTTCTAGAAAATCCTCATCAGTCTGCCGTAAAACCTCATTTCTGTTGCTTCTATTTCATTTCACTGTCTTTAGCGATTGTCCAACAAAGACTGCTACAAAAAGGGTTGACAATATATTATAAATAATAGTTATCATTATGCTTTAGAATTTTCCACTTGATATTCATTGACACGTTTAAATGTTTTAAGGATTAGGCTCATTTTTATTGGAACTATCATTTTACCTTTGCAATTGCTTTTTATTATTCTGGAATATTCTTAGATATTTACATTGTTGAACTTATTTAATTTTTTCACTTCTACTCATGGGATTACTAACAAAGTTTACCGTTCTTTCAATACTGCCATGCATTCTGCTGTCTTCACATTCAACAGTAAGTCTGGTTTTATAGCATTATGTTATAAGGGCTAAAATCTGCTGAAGTACCGTGGAGGAGAAATCTCGACCCAGCCTTGGCGACAATGTAAAGAGGCAAATAATTGCATCTTAAGTCTTATTGTATCAGTACAAGCATCACCTACTGGTTTGATCCTAGCCTACACAAGTATGGCCCGGGGAGGGGGGGTGCAGACTGGCCCCAGCTGTTATTGGTCTTTGGGCTAAAGAGTTATTCTCAGGGTTGTGGTTAGGTTTATGATTGGGGTTATTTTTCCAATATAGGGGTATGTTGCAGGGTTATGGCTAAGAATTAGGGTTGGGGTTGTTTTTCGGGGATAGGCTTATGTTGTGGACTTATGTTCACTCAGCCAAAAATAAGTGTTCGGGGGAAGTCCGCACATTGCTTCAGATGTTGCTGCAGCCTTTGTTTTGGAGCTCTCATTCGATTCTCAAGAAGAAGTATAGGAATAGCACAGTTTGTTAGTTTCACTTTTATTGGGTTTTTTTTTACACAAGTAGGGTAACTCTGTTCGCAAAATCCGCTCTTTTTCGAAGGTGGCGCCACCGAATTTTGAGGACATTTTTTAAATTGGTTCAAAGAGATGAGTGAACTATTTTGTTATACACGATCTTTGTAGCTGTTGCCTGCAAAAGACGCCAGTTCGATTCCCAGATGGGGAGACACCGATTATCTCCGTCTTTCTACTACGATGTTGTATCTCTCTAAGTCCACATTGGTCCAGGAATTCATGGTCGTAAGCCCGTCTCTTAAATGTACTAAATGTGTCGCTTGTTGGTGAAATCAGGCGCTCGTTCAAATAATGGAATTCATGAAACCGAATTTTTTTTTTACCAGTTGGTCAATTTTCCTCGGTTTTCTTTTAATATTTAAAAATGGGAAGGGGAGGGTGGAGCTGAACGCCTTTGGTGTCCATTTAAAGACACATTTCTTTTTGGAATCTACAGAAAAGCGTTGCTCAAAGTCACGGAAATGTAAATAAATTTGCAGTTTCCAGTGACGCTCAAGATTAGGAATTTATTCAAATCTGGCGACTATTTGCTCATTGATTTTACCTCTGATACCACGCTACAGCCATCTTCTTCAGTGGAAGATATCTCAACTTCTACTCAAAATAAATGAGTATTTTAAAATAGAAAAAAAAAAACAATACAAAAGAAAAAATGTTGTATATTATACAATTAACCCCATATGTCCAGAAATTCACTATCGATTGATTCCACGGTGACGTAACACAAAATTTGTTGAAGGGGCTTAACAACATTTACATTTTTTTTTTAAACTGACAGAGTGAACTCTACCCTACTCAAAACGTCTTTGAACATGGACCAAGTTTCACTATCGATGCTTCAACTGCTAGTCATCTCTGATGCGTGTTGTATGCATAGCGTTGCATGAATCGCAGAAGTTATGCTTGTCTAGTATGCCTCTAGAGACTTTAAAAAAAAGAACAAGCTGATAATGTGGAGAAGTTTAGGGATCTCAACTTGCAGGGCCAGATAGCTGAAGCTTCTCTTTATAAAAAATAGAAGTGACGCGGCACACTACTTTGAGTGATCTAGTATAGCAGCCTGTGTAGCGGAATAGTTTCAGGTTTGATTTGGTTTGAGTAAGAAGCATAATATCGACTCAACAGTTGTCATTTAGTGAAGGGAAAGGTAAGACAGAGAGACAGTAACAACAGAGGAAAAATAAAGAAGTAGAATCTACCAGTGGCGCCCTCCAAACCACCCGCGAATAGTTTCAGATGACATACATATTTTTGACATGACTGCATTGCTTGACATATATATTCAATCATTTATGTTTTTTAGCCCCATTAACCATGGCGTTTCAGTGTCTTGCACTGTTGAATATGCTTTTGATGAGGTTATCCTAGATCAAAAGTTCAGACTGTACCACATACTATAACATAAATATTGAGAAGAAAAAAAGTATTTAATATTGCGAATAGTATTAATTTCATGTAACCTGCTTGCCAAATCAGATTGGAGTACAAGCAAAGAGTGTTGTATTTCTTCTGGCGAATAAAACATCTAGACAAAAGTAAGGCATTGTATAATATTTTGATGAGATAGATATGGTAGAGCCAGGTCAAAAGACAGATAATTTGTCTGAAACCTTTGTGTTACTTATATCGGAGATATTTTTATTGGCTGAGCCAAGCTGAGCCAATTCCACAAGTCAGTATTCAACAACGCCCGATCTATCTCTCGCGATCTCTTAATACCTCAACGACTCTGGAGTAGAAAAATTCTGACGGCAGAGACGGGTATCACATGACGTCCTCCTGACTACATAAAGCCGTTCGGAGCCAACAGGAAGCCAGGGTGTCCCTGAGAGCATCAGAGAGATCGCGATCATGTCGTCTGCTTTCCTTCTCCTGGCTTGTGCGCTGGTCATCTCTGTCCACGCCGACGGCGTCTGCCGAAACAGGCGTCAGTGTAATAAAGGTAAGGCAGCGTTCTTTTCAACAGAGACCAGTTTACGAAGATGCCTGATAGTCTAAGTCTATACTTTTTTACTATCTAATTTTCAGAAGCAAGCTGTTTTTTAACTGTTTTGTTGTTGTTGTTGTTGTTGTTGTTGTTGTTGTTGTTGTTATTGTTGTTGTTGTTGTTGTTGTTGTTGTTGTTGTTGTTGTTGTTGTTGTTGTTTTAAAGCGATAGCTGTACCTTATTGTCGAAATCATTATTTGCAAATTCAGATGAAAGATTAGGAAAAACTTTGGAATGATATACAGTACGGATGATTGAACATTGCTCCCATTACAACTCAACTTTTATATCGCACCATAAATACTATTAATGTTATAGGTATTTGCAAACTTGCTGTGGATGCAGTGTCGGTTATATAAAGATCGTTGAAGATTCTCCCCCCCCCCCCCACACTTACCTTACAATGTGAAGGATTGGACAGAGGTGGCTGTTCCTAGTGTAACATACATGTAGACCGAAATAAGCAAGCTCTTTGAAAAGTGTGCTTCCGACTAAGTATGGTTTTAAAAATTTGTTTTCTGAAAAGTAGATTGTCAATGTTATCAAAAGAACATCAAGATTATAAGGTGAAAAAGAATCAAAATAGAGAGACAACTTTAATATAAATATTTCTCTTGTACAGCGGTCACCAAACCTTATCAGAGCTCGGCCAGTAAACGGGGAAAATGCGCAGCAAGATCTGGAGAACTATTTTGTACGTTTTCTGTTCATTAGGATACATTGAGAACACAAACGAAAAACAACAACAACAACAAAAACAAAATAACAAAGAAAACTAATTTTTAAAGTTGCGAATACACAAATTACAAAATTACTCCAAAAAGTATATTAGCTTAAAGTTGTGAAGCCTATAATATCACGTTTAATTTGTATGCAGATATTCAATGAAATAACTTATTTATTTTTGTGACCAAGTACTCAGCACGGTGCAAACATCTAAACCTATACTATTTTTCACAAAGACGTCTGATAAATTTTGGTTTTGTTTTGTATTGTTCTTTTTTTAGGAGGGGGGTTGCTTTGTTGCTTTGGTTTGGTTGTTGTGGTTGTTGTTGTCTTTTGTTTGCATGTTGGTGGGGGTGGGGTGGTGTTGACTTCCAACTACCACAAGGCGGTTTGGCGGCAGAACGGGCCAGCTAACGTCACAGTCAGGGTCTGGCCAGGGGGCTGCACTTCAGAGACTCTGTCTCCTGGAGAGTGAGTCAACTGAACAACTCTGACATACGTCTGAAGACTACAGGGGGAAAACGACGGTAGTTACAAACTGAAAATCGTGAGAGTACCAATTTTGAACGCTGGTTGACTCATAACCGTATTTCTGTTCAACTGTTGTTTGATTATTGTTGTTAGATTTTCCATTCAATAACACTTAACAATTAAACTACCAGTAAAACAATTATGAAGTTATGAGTCCACAAGCTTTAAAAGATTCCACCCTCACAATTTCCAGTTTACGACTAAAGTCGTTTTTCCTCTGTTGTTTTCATATTCATCGCATAATACTTTCACTTTCAGGCTGATTCTTTGGGCATTTCATAATCCATATGACAAGCCCTTGAATGTTATTCAATGTAGATCACAGTGGAAAAACAGAAAGTTTTTGATAGTGCAGATTTGGTACTATTTCAGTAGCTTAAAAACAGAGAAATAAAATCATTTTTGTGATGTTGTTTTTAAAACTCAGAGAGCATCTAATGTTTCATTTTGACATGATTTCCTTATAACGTTTTTAACCAGTTATTTATAAAGTGATTTAACAGTTTTTAGTTTCGTGATCTCTCTATCCTATGACAGAGTTGTAAAGTACAGGCACATTTTAGTTTCTTAATTTGCGTACTTTGCTTAAAATTTGCGATGTTTATACATGATTTCACTTTCTTGATCATTGCATCCTAGGTTAGAATTGTAATATATAGGAAGAATATATTCGGTTTTTTTATCCCTGCATCCTATGAGAGAATTGTGACGTGTCTGTATCTCCTGTCCAGAGGTGTGCGGTTCCTCTTATGACGTGGCCATCGTGGGGGCGGGGCCAGGGGGAGCTAACTCCGCCTACATGCTGAGGGAGTCTGGCCTGGATATCGCTGTGTTCGAGTACTCTGACCGGGTGGGTGGCCGTCTGTTCACCTACCAGCTGCCCAACACACCCGACGTGAACCTGGAGATTGGCGGCATGAGGTTCATCGAGGGCGCCATGCACAGACTCTGGAAAGTCATTTCAGAACTCGGTACGGTTGGTCAGCACACCTCAACTTAAACACAACTAGTTATTGCTACTGTCTGTGTCTTAGTGACATATTAGTTTAGCTGTGGTACATACGGAAAAGTCTGATGAGCAAAAGTATAAAAAGTGTAATATACTATAATAGTACGGTTATGAAGACGTCAGTGTTAAAACCAGCTAGTAGTCACTTTTTCAGAAAGTAGGGGAAATGAAAATTAAATTTGAAAGGCTGCATCTCATTGTTTGTATTGCATTTCTTTGACCTTACAGAACGTAGAAGTTAGCAGGGTTACCTAAGAGATAATTTACAAAGAAAAAAGTTAAATTTTAAAATAATGTAATTAGTGGGGTCAGTTCAGTTTCTCCACCCCCTCACAATCCCACTCCACATCTCTTCTACTCCTGTTCTGCCACGACACCTATACATTGCACTGTCAACCC